AATCCTTGTGGGTTTAGCACTTGCAGGATTGATTATCAATACCAGAATGGCCTAAGTGCTTCCCTGCACTGTCTTAACACATGTTGCCTTGACAGATGTCAAACTCCTGGATTCCTGGCTGGGGGAAGGAGGTTCAATCCAGGATTCCTTGGGTTGGATTGGTAGGATTTAGAAGAGAAAATTCTAGTTTGTAGGCTCTGCCTTACCTTTTCAGGGCTGTCACCCAAGGGCTGAGATTTGGGCACATGAGCAGCCCCCAAGTGTTTCCAGCTGATGACCTCATGCAGCACAGATTTACTCAATTAATTATCGAATTTAGGTATTTATTTGAGTTATTCAACTTACAGAAAGTTTACATCTCAATCTGCTGTTCATTCTGAAAGTTATGGACTGCGGTGTTCACTCTTTTCCACATCTTATGGCAACAAATTGTTGCCCAAAGCATTTTTCCTCCTCACTTTAAGGCCTGGCACAAACATTCCCCCAAATAACCAACAACCTGTGTAAAAATTTGGTGATTTAATGGGGTATTTTCTGTCTCCTCCAGGGTTAGAAGGGCTGAAGAGCAATCTTGACATTGAACATGACAGTAATTAACCTTCAGAAACAATAAGGTTGGGGACAAACATGACAATGAACCTCTGCAGCACTAAACTCTGCACATCTTTTGACTCTAATAAAAGTGGTGAGTGAAGGGAGTGGTGGAGGAAAGTGGAGCAGTGAAAAGGTCATGGATTCCTGTCTCTTGTGAACATGCAAAGGTTGTCAGGGGTGGAAGCAAGTCTGTGGGTCAGGTTGTGTGATCCCAACGGTGACACAGCCCAGGGACAACAGGGAATGTCATCTCCATGGGCCAGGTCAACCTGCTGCCTCTGATTGAGCCTATCACAGTGTCCTGATTGTCACCTTCACAGGGAAGCTTGTGGGTGGCAAGAGAGTGTTGGAAGCACATTACCAGGCAGCCATAACTCAATAAGTGAAACCAAACGAGGCACAGCATGGGGCATTCAGGAGAGACTAAATCCTTTCACAGCTGAGAACTCTTACACCAAACTTCCATGCATGAACCAAGCTAAGAGACAGACCTGGTGCTGAGCTCTAGTGGCTCAGCCTGCAGGAAAGACCAGATGAGCTCACTCTTGACACTGGAACCTGCTCCATGGTCTCTGCACAGCTCCATGGATACTCTATGGGCTCCAAGAAGTCACAGGAAAGGGAGGACCTCCAGAAAGATGACACCTTGAGGGTGTCTGAGTGGGCAAAGAGGTTTGGGCTCTTTGGAAAGACTAATTTATTTCCAGTTGTGCTTAAGACTCCTCAAGTCCAAACTCCTCCTTTCCTGTAGCACAGAATCCTTGTTGAGGTGGCACTGGAGCAGGGGAAGGTGTCACTGTCACTGGTAGTGCAGCAGCTCCTCCCAACGAATGGGCTGGGAAAACACCTCCCTCTCCAGCCAGAGCTCGTAGGAGTAGTGGAAGTCCTCAGGGAGCTCCAGCCTCTGTCCCAGCACACTCTGCAGACAGTTGTCCACCGGAGCAAACTCCGAGTCCTGAGGTCTGTCATACCTCCTGCTGTTGAAGGCTTCGATGTTGGCTCTCAGGGTGCATTCCTCAGCCTGGAAATCCCATGGTCTGGCATCAATATCTACAGGGGAGGACAAATAAAATGAAAATATTTTGAGAAAAATAACTCTGATAAGGTTTGAGCAAAAGAAAGGATGAAGATGTCACAGCAACCATGTGCTTGAATAGACCAGTGTCAGGTTTTGACCAGTCAGTCACACATTCCTAATTATTATTTTTCCTAACCAATTCCCAAACATTTAAGTACTTTAATTTAAGTTATTTCATAGAAACACTGAATGCTAAGGGGTTGAAATGGAGCTCAGAGATGATCCTGGGGCAACCCCCTGCCCTGAGCAGGGACACCTCCCACCAGAGCAGGTTGCTCAAGGCTCATCCAACCTGGAATGAAACACTGCCAGGGTTGGGGCAGCCACAGCCTCCCTGGGCAACCTGGGCCAGTGTCTCACCACCCTCACAGCGAAAACTTCTTCCTGAAATCTACCCTAAATTTCCCTCTTTCCATTTCAGAGAGGACAGTTGCCCATCAGGACTCACCGTTGCCGTAGGCCCAGTCATCATTCATGCGGTGTCGCACCTTCTGGTAGATGGCAGACATGGTCTTCATGTTGCTCTTTCTCCACTGACGCCCCAGGTACTTGGTCTGGATTTTCAGCAGCTTGAGGACATAGAGCTGCATCATGGCCTGCTTCACCTTCAGAGCACGTTTCAGTATTGGGGCTGACTTAAACACGACCAACATCTGTCAGGAAACCAACACAAAGTAATTCAGGGTGTTCAAGGGTTTTCACCATCCGTGAAGGTGTTTAAGAGGTGTCTGGATGTGGCACTGGAGGATATGGTTTAGGGTCTAAGGGTTCCAGCAGTGACAGGTTCATGGTTGGACCTGATGATCACAGAGCTTTCCTCCAACCTTGATGATTCTATGATTTAAGGAAGACACACAAGTACTGTCTGTGCTGCTTTGGGCACTAACACCTAGGCCATTTATGCTACAAGCCCCACGCAGGTAGAACAGAAGCATTCACTGGGTGGTGCCAAGAGGATGAATCAGGCTCTTCTTAGTGGTGCAAACCAACAAAACAAGAGGCAACAGCGAAAACTGATGCACAGAAAGTTCCACCTGAACACGAGTTCTTTCCTGTGTGATTCACTGTACATTGGAACAGGCTGCCCAGAGAGGGTGTGGAGCCTCCCTCACTGGAGATATCCTAGAGCCATGTGCTCTAGGATGGCCCTGCTTGAGCAGGGAGGTTGGCACAGATTACCCACTGTGGTGTCTTCCAACCTGACCCACCGTGTGATTCAGCATCACCAACACTTGCTGCACAGGGTTTGAGGCTCATAAACATAAGTGTTGGTTGCAGAAGAGAAAGTATTGCTGCATTTAAGGCTCTGTCAGTGGGGGAAAAAGGGCAGATGATGAAAAGCAGGGCCCTGCTTGAGCAGGGAGGTTGGCACAGATTACCCACTGTGGTGTCTTCCAACCTGACCCACCGTGTGATTCAGCATCACCAACACTTGCTGCACAGGGTTTGAGGCTCATAAACATAAGTGTTGGTTGCAGAAGAGAAAGTATTGCTGCATTTAAGGCTCTGTCAGTGGGGGAAAAAGGGCAGATGATGAAAAGCAGCCAGCACAGCAATGCTGGAAGAACCTCTCAGCAGGCAGGGTGGGCAGGAAGGGTGGGCTGAAACCCATGGATATGCTCCAGGTGCAACACTGGCCCCAGGACATGGAACGTCTCAAGGTGTCTCAGGAACGGGACATCACCTTACCATTGTCCTTGAGTGCTTCCACTTGGTCAGTTTGTTGAGGATCCTCAGCAAGTTAATGCAGGAGAACAAATTTCTCCAGCAGAACTGGTTGTTGTCTCCAGCTTCCTGCAAGACAAGGAGAAATGTAACCCTAACTTCAACAGAAGCACCACAGAGATGTCCTTAAGCGCAAAGTCTTTAGTGTTACTGTCTGCACAAGTTTTATTTCCAATGGGGAATGAACAGCTCTGGAGCTCCCAAAACACAGAGGAAGAACAGGAGAGGGAAGATGTGGACCAGCAAGGAATCAAAGAGCCCCATGGCAGGATGGGTGAAGCCTCCAATACCTCACTGAGACTGTAGCTACTCCTGATTTACACCATGTGGGGACAGCAGTGACCCCACAGGTCCCTCCTCTGGGGACAGCACTGCTGAACTCATCCATGGAAGTAAACCAGACACACACACTACTGTGCTCAACCCACTGAAAACATCTGTGAGATCCACCAAGAAATGTGTTATGTTGGGATGTTAAAATCACTCCTCAGAGTGCTGAAAAGGCTAAAACTATCCATGAAATGTTGCTGAAGAAACATAAGTACATGCACAAACTATGCCTCTAATGCCAGGCAATGTCTAATTTCCACAAAATCCTTATTTTCATGGCTGTCCTCCTGAATATGAAGTAAAATTCATGTTGGTTTCTGCATATCTTCTAATGAAATTAGTCTCTGGTGAGATCAACATCAATGTCTGCTGGAGGGAAGTGATAAAGTGTTGAATGCAACAGGTCCCAAAGTGGGAACCAGACCATACTGGGAATATTTTCCCTAAAAAACCAGCTTAGTTTTCTCCTAGAGCTACAAAGCTTAGTGTGAGGATCAGCAGGAGCCAGCAGAGCCCTCAGAGTTGTGTCGCTAGATGTCCCCATCGGCCCATGATGGGTGGGAGGTGCCAGGGCTGGATGAGGACACCCAGCACAGCCCTTGGATCTGGGGGAAATCTTCCACTTGAATGATTCTAACCTTCACACAGCTGAGGGAAACACCACAGCCTTGTGATTTTAGCAGCCAGACAACATGGGATCAGCCCTGCTAGGACTGGCTTGGCTCGGGCTCCTTCTTAATGGTTCCTGCATAATTTAAGGTCTCTGTTCCCTTTCCTTTATTCCCTGTTAACCCCAAAGCTTCTCCCTGCTCTTTGATCTGTCCAAATCCTGCCTACATTGCACTTGAATTACTGCAGTTAGGAACTTGCCAACATTAATGTCTCATCTGCCTAGGGCTGGGGCAGCCACAGCTTCCCTGGGCAACCTGTGCCAGTGTATCTCACAGCAAAAACTTCGTCCTGGTATCTAACCTAAATTCCCTACTTTCCATTTCTCCCCATTGCTCCTTGTCCTGTCCCTGCAGCTCCTAACACAGATCCCTCTGCAGCTTCCCTGGAGCCCCTTCAGCTCCTGGCAGGTTGCTCTGAGCTCTCCACACAACCTTCTCTTCTCCAGGCTGAGCAGCCCCAACTCTCTCAGCCTGTCCTCGTAGGGAAGGTCCATATATTGCCTCAGCCCATCCTGCTGGCTGGTCTCCATAGCACTTAAGCTGCTCTCCGTAGAGAATTTGGTTCATTCCTTAATCTCCTAGTATCTTAAAGCACAAGTGCTCAGAGCAATTTAAACCTGGAAGGAAAAACCTCTGGGCAAATCCTTTTTCAAAGCAGGAGTCTAGTCAGACAGGCCAAGAGGAAATAGCCTCAAGCTGTGCCAGGGGAGGTTCAGGTTGGACATCAGGAGGAATTTCTCCATGGAAAGGGTTGTCAGGCATTGGAATGTGCTGCCCAGGGAGGTGGTGGAGTCACCACCCCTGGTGGTGTCCAGGAAGGACTGGAGGTGGCACTCAGTGCTCTGCTCTAGCTGCCAAGGTGGTAATGGGTCTCAGGGTGGACTCGATGATCTCAGAGGTCTTTTCCAACCGCAATGATTCTATTCTATCAAAGGGAAAACTAAACCCAACGATTTTTATGGAGTGCTCAACACCAGCAGTGCCCCCTCTCCCCCTCTCCCTATAGCTGACAGCAAGTCAGGATAGTCACAGGAGGAATTTTCAAGTCTGGAGGGGAAAAAAAAAAGCCTACATTTGGAAATATTAAGGGTACAGAAAAAGAAAACAGAAAAAAGAAACCAAAATCCTCCTACAGAAATACTGGGCACAAGGACATTTCTGTGCTGCTTACCAGGCTTTCTGCTGTGAGCTCAGGCAAATCAGAGACTGTGCAGTGTGGATAATCCAGGACAGAGATGCTGTGGAAGAGAGGCAAGAAGAGATTTGTTAAGAACCAAGTGAACACAAAAGCAACATTTTAAGCTGATCTATGTGATTGTGCCCAGAATAATAACCTCTTCCTTCCCTGTGCTTGGGGTTTGAATGGCAGTGGCAGAACTGCCTTGTGCAACAAGTGATTTGGATGGACAATCCCATCTCCAGTGAGCCACACTGGGAATGTGAACCGACTGATTTTCCTCCCTCCTGCATTTCCAAGGGCATAGACAACATCCAGAGGGGCTTCCAGCTCCACCACTGCCTCCCAGCTTAATGGAGCACATCAATGCCTCTTGGTTCCAAAGCACATCCTGAGTGCATTAATAAGGACTCGAAGGATTTGCATCCATTAAGCCAGGCCAGATTAGTTATTCATATGCATATTTAAAAAGGGAAAAAGAGAAAAAAAACCAACCAAAAAACCAAATAGATCTTAAAATGGAGATAGCTGATGGCCAGCAACGAAATTCACAGTGAGGTTTTTGGAGGCCTCCAGGCCTGTGAGCTTTGGGAAAGTAGTCAATTAACCCCCCAAAATGTATAAATATGTATATATAATATGTATGTGTACATACAGACACATATTGTGATGCTATCCATGCATGGATCTAAACCAAACAGTGCATTATCACACAGCTTCTTGTGGGACTGGTTTTACATTCAGCAGCTGAGCACAAGCTCAACTGACCCCAGGGCTCATTTGCTCCAAGTCATCCTTGTTTTGGCATCACCTCTGATATTTCCTCCTGGAGCATCACTGGACTGAGGTCTGTGCACCTGAACAGGACCAAATCCTGCAGGATAAATCCATTTTGCAGGGCAGTGCCTGATGTTTGCTGTCACCTGACAAACCAAGACTCTGGAAGCTAAACCTCCCTGGATCAGCTCGTTCACAGGGGTGTATCCTGCCAGTGACACCTCCAGCAGGAACAAGAGGAGAGAGCTAAGTGCAAGAGGAGGGAGTCAAGTGCTCCTGGGCTGCATTTCCTCCTCATTTAAGGCATAGGACCAAAAGTGGAAATGTTTATAGAGGGAGAATATCTTAATTCCTGTTTTTCCATTTGTGCTTCCTCACACATCCCCAACCAGCCCATGCAGGAGACAGACAGTCTACACACACAGCTGAAGAGCAACAAAAAAACCACCAAAAAGCAACCTTATTCCAACAACATCATCCCTGTGGCACTCTCCTCTGAATGAGGAAATCCTACCAAGCCCTAGTGAGCTGTAAGTGTTGTGCTCTTTGAGTTCTCACACTGACTTGGGGTTCTCCAGCCTGTCCTCTACTCACAACAAGGCTGGTGCCTCCCTCATACCAGCAATAAAAGGCAGTGACAACTATGCAAAGCCTGAAGAAGTCAGGAAAGCTGAATTCCAGCTATAAAATATGGAAAAGACCTAGAGGACTCTACCCCATGTGGTCTTTTTGACCCACAGTTTGCCTGATGGCACGGGCTGCTCTCCAGAGTCCATGCAAAGATGGAAGCAAGCTACTGCCACCAAAGCAGATAGGTCTAGGTGTGGTTTTGTAGTCCAGTGAGGGCTTGGAAATCCACCATCTAGTCATCCTCACTCTCCAGAGGAGATTTTCTCCCTCCAATGTATTCCTGTAGTGAAGAACACATTGCCCCAAACCTGTGCTAGGGACTGGAGATCATCTAGTCCCACCACATATCCACCTCGGGGTTCCTCATGCATGTTCCATCACCTCTCCCTTCCCCAGAAGGGTCTGTACCTGTTTTTGGCAGTGATATAGGACATGATGTTTTGGTTGAAGAACTTCAGGATCAGTGGGATGCAGTTGGCAAACACCAGGTGTTGGGACACATACTCAAACTGAGGGAGAGAAGTGAAATGGGTCAATGCTAGCTGGAACAATTGGGAGCATCACCTGGGAATGGAAATGTTTCCAGCCAAAGGCAAAGCACTTGGGGTGGTTTGCTCTAGACACCTCTCAGACCATCCTCCCCCTGCAGCAGTTTGCTGTATGAGGCTTGGGTCATATACAGCAGGTGGAAAATTCCATTGGCCACAGGGAAACACATAGATGGACACACAGACTTTCTGGCACCACTTTGGGAATAGCTGCAGTGTGGCTTTCCAAAGTAAAATCTGGTAAAACAGTGTATGGGGAAGAGGCAAAGAGGACATGTAGCTGCTACATGAGAAAATACAGTAATTCCTATCACTCTCACACACTAACCACAGTTTCCTTTACAAAAATATTCTTAACTTCACAAACATTTTTAATTTCTCTCCCCCTCTAAGCACTAAATGGTCTTTAAGGTCTCTTCCAACCCAATCCACTCCATGATTCTATAATCCATCCAATCCCTACTGTCCTCTGAAGAGACAAACAGTAGCAACACCCTATCCCATCCCTTTCTGTCCTTCCCATTCCTCTTGCTAACCTGCTATCAATATATCCATTGTGAGGGCTCGGAGCAACCTGGGCTAGTGGAAGGTGTCCCTGCCCATGGCAAGGGGTTGGAATTGGATGGTGTTTTAAGGTCCTTCCAACTTAAACCATTCTATGATACTCTGATTTCAGCCCTTGGTTTTTTAGGGTGCTCCCTGAGACCAGTTTGGCACCGAAAGATACAAAATCAGACATAAAAGCAGCATCAGAGGGACAAATCCTCACAGGGTTAGCACCAGGCTGCAAGGGTCCTCCTGCCCCAGAGGAAGAGATGAGAGGAGACACTTGGAGAGAGAGGCAAGAAAAATTAGTGAAGGGATGTGAGGAGGACCCAGAACAAATGTAGGATGATAAAAATGTGGGAGTTTGTTTCATTTTATCCAGGGTTTGTAACACAGATGGGTTTGTACCATGCTGAGACCTTGAAAAGAAAAAAAATAGGAACACTCATTATTTGACTTTATAGTTTCAGAGTATGTGAAGGGATTGGGATGGAGCTTAGAGATCATCCAGCCCCAGCCCCAGTCCCCTGCCCTGGGCAGGGACACCTCCCCACCACTGATATCTAACCGAAATTTCCCTCTTTCCATTTCTTCCCATTACTTGCAGAGTGGGTAGAGAATTGAGCCACAGCTCAAACTGGCCCTTGAGGGTTTTGAGACCAAGAAAAGCCCTTGGTAGGTGCAGCTCAGGTGGTGCCATGCACATGGAACAGAAATCAGGTTGCAGCTAGGCCCCAGCCCTCCTGCCCCTGTTGAAACTGGAGCCTCAAGAACTTGATCCTGCCCAAGGGACAGAGGACCAGATTAGTTAACCTCATGAGGTCCTTCCCAGCACTATTTCTGGTCATTGGAGATGTGACAGAGCAAAAGAGTTGCCTAACTCCCATCCCCTTCCTCCTGCTGCCAGGGAAGCTCATGCTGTCTCCTGGATTTTAGCCTAATCAGCCACAGCATGATTTTTTCCAGAAGTCTAAAAACTCCTTCCACATGAGTGGAAATGATGCTGTCAAAACACAGCAGAGATATATTGCAGGCAGGTTATCCCTGCACAAATCCTGGCCCAGGGCTAGGGATCACTACTATAGAAACATGATCTGCTCCTTGTCATGGAAATTCCTCCTGCAAACCTTTTAGGAGAGAGTTTATCAGGACAACCAACTCCAAGACCAGCTTGGCAATGGTCAAACCCTTCTCTAAGCTCACCTGGTAGATGTGGTTCAGCTTGAAGTGCTTGAGGAGCAGCAGCAGCAAAGCTGAGATGCTCTTCACAATGATCTCTTTGTGTCTGTTGACATCAATCCCCAGTTTCATGCTCTGAAGGACAGTGATGCTGGGTGGGAGAGGAAACAGCACCATGGGCATGGGAGCAAGGAGGATGAAGGGACTGTTGAGTTCATACTCAGCTCTACAGAAACAGGGACCTTTGCTTGACTTTGTGATGCCAAAGGGCATTAAAAAGGGATAAAGAAGCTGACTGATCTCCACCTGGGGGAGTAGTTTGAAAGACACTTGCAATGTGTTGACATATCTTTATGATTTGGGTCAATTAGCAGGATTTTATGATTTGTGCTACCTAACTGCCAACTGTGCTGGAATTGTCACACTCCTGAAAAAAACCAGCATCACTTCCTTGCCTTCCATCCCTCTGCCCTGGTGGCAACAGGAACTTGGAGATAGAGATATCCCCAAATCTGGAGGCCCCCAAAGCTATCAACTAGCAAACCCCAACTCTCCAACTTGGTCTAAGTCTTCATGCAAAGTTGGAATGGTTGGTGACCACCTCATCGGGGACTTACGGCATCTCTTCAGGCAACACATCTGCCAGGATGTTGATGGAGTCAGTCTTGGCTTTGGAGGTGGGTGCAGCAGCGAGGAGAATCTTCAGCAAAGCTATCTGCAGGAGAGGGCAGGAGTGAAGGGATGGTCCCAGGAAGGGGAACTCCTTCCTTCTCCTTCACTTGCTGAAACTGGACAACTTTGAGCCATCTCCATAGGGTTTCACCAGCCCTATCACAGTCCACTATGATGGACTGACTATGGCAAGGCTCAGCCTCTGCTTTTCTCCCCTGGACAGACAGGCCAAGTGTGTGGAGCACAACAGCCCTGCTTGAGCCTTAACTTAAGGCATCACATGCACCTGAGCCCTAAGAGTGTGGAAAAAATATCACAAGGGGCACCTGGAGCCTAAGGCACTTAAATATGTGTTCGTCTTTCCCTGCAAACAGATCCCACATGACCCAACCAGCATCTTAGAGCCATGGAATCATGGCTTACCATGTACTGGGGGAGGTTGTACAGCATTGCTCGATACAAGACCTCACAAGGGGTTTCTTGGACTTCCTCTTCCCCCTAGCACAGAGAAACATTAGAAACAAGGGAAAATGAAGTGGAAAAAAAAAAGAATGTATGGAATTCTATGACCTCTTGGTAACCTTCCACACATCTATCTGGTGATGAGGAGCAGCAGCTTCTTACCAGAGACATGGGGCATTTCTCCAGCTCCTCCTCATTCTTGATCTGGACATCAGAGATGGAAACATATTTGTGCTGGCAAAACACAGAGAGAGAGGCAGGGAAACATCACAACTGCAGGAGGAAGCACCCATTGCATCCAATCCCACCTCAGAGCATCTGCTGAGTGCCAGGGAGCAAAAATAGCAAGGGATGAGTTTAGACAAGCTGAGTGCTGCTCAGCTTCTGGGATGCTTCACCCAAGTGCTGTGCATGGAGCCACCATCTCACCTGCTTCAGGGTCTTCACACTTTCATGGATTGGCCGTGGTAACCCTATGAGGGTTTCAGTGTCCCTGAGGAGGAGGAAGGAAGGTAGGTATGAGGCTGGGAAGATCTCTGTTCAAACAGATGTCACACAAGGGAAAAAAGGGAGCCTGGAGTCTCCTGAGTCTACCAAATGCATCCCAGATGGGTCAGGAATTGGGAGAGGTGTTGGCATGAGCTGCCCTCCCTCCCCCTCCTCCCCAGAAAAGTCCAGAGAGGATGTGAAGAATTGGGGTGAACTTAGGTCTCTGTGGGCCCAGCACTGCACCTCAAAACAAATGTACCCTGCAGGACCCATCCTCTGCTTGATTTGTTCACAAACTGAGTCATTTTCTGAGGATACCAAATTGTCTCCACTCCCTCCTGCATCCAACTGGTCTCTGCCTTGGGTCAGGAGTTGCTTATTCTGGGCTAGGTCTGATTTTTCATAGAAAGAGGTCCTTGGAGATCAGTGTCTCCAGGAATATGTTTTTCTGCCACCAAGAGCATTGCTGCAGCCCCAGGGAAACCCAGCACTGTCCTGAGCATGTCTTGAGTTGAGAAACCTGAGCTTTGTGGCCGCCTCCCACCACTTCAGCTGCACTGATGGGAGCTACAGGACACACACTGTGGCTACAACACTCACTGTCCTAGTGTGAATCCAATGAACTTGTTCCTGCTTGCCTCCAGGAAATGCTCGATGTCTTTCTGTCTGATGGAGCAGTGGAGACAGAAAAACAAGGAGAAGGTTGGAAAATAGACATAAACCAGATCACAACCTAGGATTGATTTCTAGAGATCTTAGTAGCAGTGGGTAAAACCCACCAATGCTCTCATTGCTTGGCAGCAACGTGAATCAAAGCCACTTGTATCTGCTGTGCAGCTCCATGGGAGTGGGAAAAGAAAAGGAGAGGAGTTCTCTACAATCAGCACCTTCTCATCCACCTCTTGTGCTCCTCACACACACATCTCCAAGCAGCATCTGCTCTCTTTGGGAGAACAAATGCTGTCTCTGTGGTCTGGCAGAGCACGTGCTGCTTCGAGAGCAAGATGACATCTTGTCCACCTTGGGCATCTTTCAGGAGAGCTGGTCAGGGGCTCAGCACTACAAGGAGGATATGAGCCACAAGCCAAGGCTCTCATGGGCAGAAAAATCCAGCTGGATTTTCAGGCAACAGCCAAGACAAACAACAGGCATTTGATTTTGAGGCTGAGAGCATTAAGGGATGTGGAATACCACAGCACCACAGCAGAGACCACGTGGGAAAGCAGTTCTTGCTGTGTCCCTGCAAGGAGAGCTCTGGATAGACAGATTTAACCCTGTCACTGCTCCCACAGCCAAAAGAATTGATTGCCCCTGTGTTTTAGAGACTGGACTAAATCCAGGCTTGGGATAAACAGAAAAAACCTCACATGGATCAGAGGGAAAGGGGCAGAGGGTTTCATGCTCCTTTCCTGATGGTCCCCCATATCACTGGTCTTGGGAATGGAAGGCACCAACTTCTTGATCCTCTCAGTTTTACTCCAATTTTTCACCTTAAAGAGGCCACTCAAGAAGGTTTCACCTGGCAGCACAAGAGTCTTGCTCCACAAGCAAGAGGCAACGTCATTAACCAGTTCCCAAGATGATTAATCAAGGACTTTGCCCTGCTGAGATCCACTGGTGCCAGTGGGGGAAGCTGACCCTGCTCCCACAGTGCTCCAGCACAGCCTCATTGCCAGTACAACCAGCAAATCTACAATGGAATTACCACTTATTGGCCAAGCTTCATTTGTAAATCCTGGGGAGGAGCTCAGCTAAACGCAGTCCAGAGGGTTTAGCTGAACTAAAGTCCTCCAAAGGATCAACCAAGACATAAAAAAGCAGTGGAGTCACTTCAGTTCAACTCGCCAGGGGCCAAAAACCTTGCCACAGACTGATGTTCCACCTGTTCCTCCAGGACAGGTAGGGCTGGGGATGGTGGCAGCGACACCAGGAGGTGTTACCTGACTTTGGGGGCCCAGGGCAGCCCCTTGGGGAAGGACACCCTTTCGATGGGCAGGCGCTGTGTGGGCATCGCAGGGATCAGCACGTCCCTCTCCAGCAGATCCAGCTCTCCCTCAATCCCACTGTCCACGTCATCATTCTCCTCTTCATCAACCCCTGCTTCATCATTCTTGAAGGGATCTCTTTCGTTGTAGATATCCAAACTGTCTTGCTTCACCAGGGGCTGCAGCAGAAGGAGAAGGGAATACTCAAGTAGCTCCAAGGACCTTATTTCTCTCCCAGCTGCTCACACCAGATCTCTCCATCCTGCAAGGATCAATATCCCTGATGTTCCTCAGGTGAGGATTTGCCTCCTATCTGTTGCCACCTAAGCCTGGACAAGGAATAACTCCTTCTATGCCTCTAGCCTTGCTGCTCTAGGAGGTGTGACCTCATTTTCTATCTCAACTTTTGGAGCTTCCATCCCTTCCCTCTGCCCTACCAAAAGGCATTTTCATCCTCAGACCATGACACAAGAGCAGAGCTAAAATAAAACCTTGCTGTGAGCAGTTTGCTCTCTAGTGCTTATCAGCCCTTTGCCATAGGGTCAGGATGTCCTCTGGCCTCCTCTGGAGCAAAACATTGCAGGCTTGATCTGCCGCAACTGCAACTGGGGGATGAAGAACTGGACATGCCCCAACCATGTGCACTGCTCCAGCTCTGGGTACCAACAGCAGGAGGATGTGGAGCTGCTGCAAAGTGTCCAGAGGAGGCCACAGAGATGCTCCAAGGGCTGGAGCAGCTCTGCCCTGGAGCCAGAATGGGAGAGCTGGGGGTGTTCACCTGGAGAAGAGAAGCTCCAGGAAGACCTCAGAGCCACTTCCAGTGCCTCAAGGGGCTCCAGGAGAGCTGAGAGGGACTTGGGATGAGGGATGGAGGGACAGGACACAGGGAATGGCTTCCCACTGCCAGAGGGCAGGGACAGATGGGATATTGGGAAGGAATTCTTGGTAGATAGGTACGAGCAAGAAGTTTGTCCCGTTGAGGGTCACTGGAGGTGTTCAAGCCCAGTTTTGATGGGGCTGGGAGCCCCCTGGGCTGGTGGGAGGTGTCCCTGCCCATGGCAGGGGGTGGAACTAGATGATCTTAAAGAACTCTTCCCACCCAAGCCATTCTGTAAGTCTCTGACCCTGGAAAACAGGAGCACTTGTGAGGAAAGACAACCACGATCCCAAGCGCAGTTTGTCTCCTCGAGCAGATGTTGGTGCCCATGGGAAAAGCCTCCTGGGCCGTGCCCCAGGGGGAGGTGCCCACTCTCACCCTGCGGCTGCGGTGCCCACGTTTCTGCTGCTGCTGCTCCATGAGCTCGATGGAGTAGGTGGGAGGCGACGCCGCGCGCATGCTGCGCATCACCTGGATGCTGTCCTCGGGCAAGGGGGGCAGCCCCAGCTCCTCCCTCTTCCTCACCTTCATCTCCTGCAGGGCTTCAAATCCACCCAGAGTGAACTAGGAAGCAACAGGACAGGTGAGAGGGCATGGAGCACGCATCCCACCTGGATAACACAGCTCTTCTGGGCTTCAGGGGAGCAGCACTGGGGCCATCAAACTGGAGAGTTGAGGATGGAGACACCACGTCAGTGGTTTGTTCTCCAGATTTCTCCCCTCATCCCATGTGCCCCCCATGGCTCACCCTAGAAGAAACTGCCTTGTGTCAGCTCCCTGTGACATCCCAAATAACCTCATTATGGTTTATAGCACCATAGTATGTTAAGGGGCTGGAATGGACCTTAGAGACCACCTAGTCCCAACCCCCTGCCCTGGGTTAGGTTGGTTAGATTGAATCGTGAGGAACATCCAGGCTGCACCAGCACTTCCCAAAGAGACCAGTTTCTGAGAAAGGGAAGGGTTTGCACCCACCAGAAGCACTTTCCAGAGGAGGAGAAGGACCTTCTTCATGGGGAAGTGTGGAGCATGGCCACTGCAGAACTTGGTCACCATTGTGAAGAGCAGAAGAGCAAATGGCTCTTCAGTGTGCACAGGGAAACCTGGTGAAGAGAGGCACCAAGAGCAGGTTCAGAGCTGTTCTCCCACCCCTGAGGTCTCCCCTGCTGGTCCAACACAACCAAGGGACCTCGATAGGACACAATGAACTTCGCGGCTCACTCAGCTCCATCCTGAAGGTCTCCCGGCAGGTTTTCCACTCGGGGGGATCTGTCTCCTGCTCCACACGGATGTTCTCCACCATGAGGTACATGACACTGAGCAGGACCCTGCCAGGACAGCACGGCAGGGAGGTGACACTGCCAGCCAGAGGCCACTCTGTGCCCAGAGGCTGTGCCCAGCACTGAGAGGAGGTACCTGAGCTCGGTGCTGTCAGCCAGCGAGATGGCTGGTTTCCTCAGGGCACTGCTGCACGCCTGGCTGTTGCTGTGGGGAAAGGGAGGAGCTCAGCACCACCTCCTCCTCATCCTGACCAGAGCCCACCTCTGGGAACACCACACTGGGGGATGTCACATGGCTGTGGCACCTCCCTGGTCCTCCGTGAGGAGGAGGAGGAAGGAGAGGGTGAGGAGGATGGGGAGAAAGAAGATGAGGAGGAGGATGGGGAGAAAGAAGATGAAGAGGAGGAGGGTAGGAGGATGGAGAGAAAGAAGAGAAGGGTGAGGAAGATGGGGATGAAGAAGATGAGAAGGGGGAGGAAGATGAGAAAGAAGATGAAAGGAAGAGAGTGAGGAGGATGGGGAGAAAGACGAAGAGGAGGTTGAGGGGGATGAAAAAAGAGGGTAAGACTGATAGGGAGAAAGTTGACGAAGAGGAGGAAAGCAAGTAGAATGGAAGAGGGGGTGAAAGAAGATCACAGAATCACAGAATATTTAGGCTGGAAAAGACCTCTGAGGTCATCAAGCCTCTAAGAAGAGAAGGGTGAGGAGAAAGAATACGCTGAAGAAGAGGACAGGGAGGGTGAGGGCAGTGTGTGTCCTCTCACTCAATTTCCATGTTAAGGAGCTCCAGGAAGGCAGTGAAGGTTCCCAGTTGGTACAGGAGGAAACTGTTGTGCCGAGACCAGTGCAGGACATCACCTTCATTATCACAGTCTCCAAAAACACCTGGAGAGGCCCAAAAAGGAAACACTGGTTAGGGAGGATCTGCCTTTGAAACCCTGCAGCCCATGGAACCATCCCAGGAAGAAGCTTCACTGCACCAACCTGGCACAACCCCAGGAGAAGGCTTCTCCCAAGCCCCCATGCCAAAACCACAGGGGATGTGGTCCTTACCCTGTGCCAGGTAGAGGATGGCTCGTGCTACTCTGAGTCTCTTGTCCCTGTTGACCACCTCCAGCCCATCCAGCAGGCGCATGACATAGGCCTTCTGCTGAGCCCCATCCAGCTCCAGCCACCTCCTGCCACACACTGGAAAAGGGACATGACCACCAGCCAGGTGCCTTCCTGGGGGTCCTGCTCTCACCCAGGGGGGCTGCCCTGACCCTCAGGGTGCTGAGCGCAGAGCTGGTACCTTGAGTGTGAAAATCCTCCTCGAAGCATCTCCTGTTGTGGCTGAGCTCAGGCTCCTCAGTGTAGCTGTACAGCTCTGATGGAGAAAGGGTCAGCAGGGGCCTAGAGGAGCTTCACCCTCCTCCTCTTTGCCAAACTCCCTGTGAAGCATCTCTATACCCCAAGGGAGACACAGGACAGAGCCCTAAAGGGATCCTTGATCTCTCCTGCAGCTCCAATGGACATCTGGGGGCCACACAACGCTACCAAGCTCATCATCTTCCTCCCCATGTCCATGTTGGGCTGTTCCCATGCTCCTGCTTGAGCTGTATTTGGAATTCCATTGGGGTTTTTTTGGGGGGTGGATGGTCATTTTCTGTCTCAGTTGCAAAGGGGGGGAAACACAGGAGCACCCATGCAAGACCTGCACTGATTCCACATCCAGGAGCTTGGACATTTTGGGACCTGCAAAGAGAGACTGGACTGGGAGGGACAGGATGCTGCACCTGTTCACGATTCCTACCCTTTTTTACAGAATTCCTACAGTTCTGTGGTGCTGAACAGCAGCACAGAGGACTGAAATGGTTCTACAAGGGAGGAGGAAGGATCCCTCAGAGAGGAAATGTGTTTTTTACCAGGCAGAGCTCATACAGCTGAGATACACTGAGCTAAAAATAACCTCTTTGCTCGGGACATGCTCGGGATCGTGAGGTTATGGGGCAGGAGCAGCCTCAGCCACTGCATGGCAGGGAGATATGGGACAAGGACATGACCCACTGAGACACCCGTGATAAAGGGTGGCACTTCCCAGCTGGGCTGTGTCACTGGCCATGCCACTCTCCTCCCACCCATCCCTGCACCCTGGGGAATTCGGAGCACAGGGTAATCCCTATGTCCCCACGTGTCCCTTCTGTTTGTCCCCAGGGAGAGAGTGGCTCTCTATTAATAACCCCCCTTTGCTCTATTCCCACAGGGATGATAGCACTCAATCTCTGTCCCTCATCCCAACGGGATTTGTACTTTCCCTCCCTGCCAGGCCCCCAAAATAGCAGCACAGCACTCAAAATCTGCTTCACCTGCTAACTCTGCGCCGTGGCCATCGGCGTCCCTGTACTCAAACTCCAGGTTGGGACAGTCCACCGAGCCCTGTGGAGGGTGGGATGGGGTTAGCAGGGGGAGCTGGCACATCCCTGGGGATATTTTGGGAGCTGGGATTGCTGCCAGGGCTCTCAGCCCGTGCACTGAAGCTCCTCCAGCCGCCGGAGCAGCGACTCGTGCACACGGATGGGCTTGACGTGGGTCTCCAGGGCTGGAGTGGGATGTCCATTCAAGGCTACTTAAAATACAGTGGAAATGTGGCAGGCGAGTGCAAAAATAGCATTTCTCAAATCCCAGGGAAAGCAGAGGCAGGACCCGAAGTGCCAGGGAATATTTGCTGCATTCCAAAGCCACGTTACCCTAAAAAACAAAGCCTGCGGCTGCCTCCAAGCAGAACTCCCCGGGAGGATGGGATGCTCCCCCGTGCTCTGCGCTCAGCATCCGAGACCCGACAGCTCTCAGGGCTGGGCTGAGCCTTTTTGAAGGCTGTAGGATGCATCTCCCCCCTCCTCCCCTGCGGATTAGGAACTGGAGCATGAAACTTGCCGGCGGATTCCTGGGGCAGAGCAGGGGCAGCCGCAGCCCGACGACCCAGCGCCGGCATACCACAGCCGTGCACCGGGAGAGCACAATTAAAAGCGAACACAGGAATGGCTAATCAAGGCAATTAGCATAATTCCGAGTCCCACCAGCCTTGCTCGGCAGCCAGGCTGGAACTGATGCTCCTCGGCAGCATCAATATTGATGAGCCCGGAGGATCGCGGCTCCGCGCGCAGCATCGCTGCTTTCTCACCCAAT